CTACTATCCTCTATCCTATATTCTATCATCGATTCCTCACCCCGCATGCTTGAGACAACCAAATAACTACTGCCTACTCAACGGGAAGGCTTCGGCGCTGGTCGATCCCCTGGCGGTCGGCGTTTGGTCGCCTTGTTTACACCCCTCACTTCATACACCATGCTTTTTCACTCTCAGGTGGTACGAATTGGTATCGGTGAGTCTTCTCCCTTGGCTAATCTAATAGGTCGACAGGGGAGAGCAGGATTTTCACGTGAATATTCTGGGTAGTCTTGAGGTAGTATACCCTGGGAATAGACAAGCAAAAATCAGCAAGCAAAAAAGCTCATCTGACCCATTTTTCAAACTTCGGTAAGGCACGGTTGGGAAATGGTTCGTATGACAACGTATCACTACTGGCTAATATATCCTAAACGACCAACCATCATCGTGCTCGGTCGCGATATCAAGGAGGCGATGGCAATGATTATCATTGACGATCACATCATCCTTTGAACGTTCCTGCATGCGAGATTTCCGAGCGCAATGCAAGGGAGGAAAGTGTAACGAGCGAACAAGCGTGGCGGTTTTGCCTTATTCACATCGCCGCTCGCTTTTGCCCTCGCTGAGTGAGAATATCGCGTCGGTAATGCTTCTAGAAAGGGGAAACAAAGATTGGGGCAGACGAGGCAATGGAAGGATTATCAGCCCGGGAACTTGGGTGCCCAATCATATGCTTTGTATCGAATTGACCGCATTGTTGACCCAAACATGTATCATATCGACCTTGTGTATTTTATTTCGTGATATCATTGTGAGTGGGTCGAGGAATAATAATAGTCTGTCACAAACGAACACTGGATCAAGTATTAATCGCGTAATGAAGTGCAAAGTCATATTCACATCATAGTCATAATCAAAAAGGTATAGTGTATAGTGAAAGTTTCAATATTCAATTATTTATTTCCTCATCATATCAATTCTCGTCATATCAGTACATATCGCAATCTTTCCATATCCATGGCGGTGATGCTACCTATCCTTGAAAACTCCCTAGGCCCTCAGTAGGTAACCTATCGACCCATCGTATTCCCATCCATAATCGTCCTGATTAGATATCCTTCCATCGCGCCAGTAATAGTAATACAAGTATGCATATTAAAAACTCATATGAGAGTAAGACCGTCGCCGCGGCACAGTATGTTGGTACAGTAAATACTCAAAGTCAAATGACAGATGAGTGTAAAAGGGTATCGAGATAGTAGCGTGCAAGCAATTGAAGATGAGCCTGCTCGAATCTCTGCCGCGAGAAGAGAAAATTGTGGGTAGCGTGTAGTGTGGAGTGAGAGTGGAATCACTGCGCCGTTCGGTCCAATCCGCATGCTCGGGTTGGGAGGAAACCTCTTGGAGATAATCGTGCAAGAGGCTCAAGGACCGCCGAAGATGAGGTGATGATGTTGCGCGGAGAAACTACCATTTAGTGCCGAAGGATGAATGGCATTTATAAGGCGTGAGTAAGGCGGGGGGGGATGATATGCATGTAAGGTAGTAGCAGTGTAATCTTGACTCTTAAACGCGGATTCAGTGGCTCTCTCAATTTGGAGGTGAGGTATTGAATTGGTCTTCGCATCGTGGTAATGAGGTCATGTCTCTTTCTAGCTTCAGTTGATGTGTTTCTTATCCAAGAACTGAAGTTTATTTGGATGGAAGAGGAGGAAGAGGACGGTTGGGTGGTGGTCCTGGGCAAGGAGGAAGGTTGGTTGGGCGATGTTGAGCAGGCATGTTGATTGATTGAGATGGAATGAACTAAACTGTGGTGTAGAGAGGAAGTTGTTTAGATGAGATGATGGATTGAAGCTGTTGATGATCTACTCTCGAAGTGGGAGGAAGAGGATAGTTATATATCTTGCTGGTGGTGATAGATGAATGTTTAATCGCAATATAAAAAGATTGTTTCTATTATCGATGTGACTTGAAACTTGTAGTAGATAGAGGTAGCGCTTGATGAAGTGATACTGAGTAATCTAATTTCTCCTTTGCTGCAAGTTGGGGTCCTGGATCTTTATGTATTTTCGTACACTCCTCAACTATGCGTGGTATGCAAACCACAATCAGAAAATTAACCAGGTTCAACCTACCTGGGGAAATTTGCCCATAATTGCTCATTCATCTTGGATCAGCATCGGAAGGTTTGGACCTGACCTGGTCTAAGTTACTGCCAGGGCGTTACAAGCATCCCACGCTATCGTGTTTCATTTTGGGCTGCACTTGCGTAGGTGCCAGGTACAATGGTCTCAAAGTAGTCTTGTTGCACTTGGATGATTTTATTATGGAGAATTTGGAAAATAGGTGATGCATGCCCAGGGTGGACATAAGATGTTTCTAAGAAAGGGAAAGTGTGGTATGTAAAATGATTTTAGTTTGAAGCCTTGTATACGCCATGGAAATGATGGTGCATTGGACAGGGGAAGCTTCAGCCTGTTGGTTTTATTATTCTGCCGGCAACTTGCATTCGTGGTAGATTGATTATGAGGAGGTTTTCATAATTCATTCTTCTTGCAAAGTCACACTTCAAGTTGATGAAGGGGCAGGAACCGAAAGACATTGGAAGTATACGTGACAATAGGGAAACCTTGGGCCATCGTAAGAGAGACGACATCTAAAGAATCACTCACGTATCGAATCCAGTCATCTACAAATCTATTTACGAATCTGTCTACGAATCTATCTCTCACGGACCTGAGTATATCTTCCTTCTACGAGGAGCATAAGTATTCAGATGATCTATAATCCCATTAGACATTCACGTCTACTCAAAAAGTAATATTCATTTTATTTTGATCATCTCATTAGTACTATTTTGGTAACAACAGGCGGATAACAGGGGTAGTCGCACATTTGCCGAAAATAGTTTGGTTAGAATGGCAGAAAATAAATGGCAGAATAATTTCCTTGTCATTCCTAATCCACATTTCTACGATGTAGGAAGTGATCAGGCTGAAGATTTTTGATTGAGGGGCGGCTTGACTTGGTTTGTAATGAGGATTTTGATATTGATGAGCAATTGAGTAAAGGAAAAACTCCGACCATTCAGGTCTACGAGGTAAGGAAGATAGTCCATCGGAGGTTAGCTGAGTACGGATGTTGACATCAAAACCTGCTTTCTGTTTGCTGTTTGCTGTTTCTGGTTGTATTTGATATCATCATCATATTATCAATCAATACCGAGCTCAATAATAGTTCCCACGAGTTTTCCTGGGTTGGGTTTGGTGTAGTGCTGACTGTATTTCATGAAAGTGTAGGCAACTTCCAATAGAATCTCCAGGTTCTCAGCCTACTAAAACCAAGCATTGCGCATTGCGAGGAATCGTATCAATAACCCAGCCTTGTAAGTTCATGTACCTTTTTCCGCCGCTGTGCTGACTGACGCTCGATACCGAATATGTACGTCTCAGCTTGTATATCACCCAAGGCTACGATTATCAGTCAAAAATCTATCATATGATCATTCAATATCAACCGCAATAGCCAATGACCAAAATCATACCTAGCTACTGTCGGTCAAACCACGATTCTATCAAGTGTGGGGTGATCATGGTTCGCTTGTAGGTGATTCGCAAGCCGATGTGATAGACTATAGCCCGCGTTTCCCCTCGCAGCCCGTGTCTCTTCCCACCTGATCTCGATGCTGTATTGGTGAAATTGTTGGTGATGATGGTAAGCGTCGTTCGTACATTGATCAATCATAAGCTACTGTAGGTACCAATCTCTGTAACGGGAAGAACTTCAACGGTCTGCGCTCATAATTCGCTGTCCACGTACTATACACACCAATGCATTCGTTGAGCTTAATTTTGGGCTTTGGCCCCCTTTCTTGAGCCGCTCCGCTGTCTCCGATCGTGAATAGAGTCTTTGATACGATATCTAAATTCAGATAGCAGTGCATGCATACCCGCAAAGATCTGTTGTAAAAATGCTTAAATTGTACAAAATGATTGGGTTATACCATCTCTGCATGGGAACAAACAGGCCGAAATTGAACATTGGCCAAGCTCTTCAATAATCCAAATGTTCCATTCCAATTTAGAAAATTATATGTTGAAATAATTCTTTTACTTGAAGACTATTCATAGATTTATTCAAATGCTATTAATTTGTAAGATTGATTGATTAATCATAGAATTTAATGGAGTGATTAATTTTGGCCTCTTTTTTCTCCTATGAATAGACTGTACCATTCGATTAAAGCTATGTGCATGCAGCAATCTAATAGCAGTACCACTCAGCAATTTCTAAATATGCATCACGGCTATTTACCTCACAATGTCTGAGCATGCATGTACAAGATAATATGGCTAAATAGCACACTGCACTGCTCATAGAATTTTCGTATTCCAACATTTATCCATGTTGAAAACGTGGAATTGATAGATTTCCTTTTGCCCTGCCGCTTACCATCTTACCATCTCAACACCGTTCTCGGGAGGCTTGTGGTACCTGAATATTAGTGTTGGAAAGGTTAAGAAATGTTTCTCAATGGACGCCTATGTTTCCGAATGTTCCCGTAAAATATAACTCTATAACCGAGTTCATCTCATTGCGGGCTTTGAAACTATAAATTCAAGCAAAGTGGCTGAGTAGTGAGTACATAGTTACCAAGCAGTCACCAAGCAACACTCGACATTTTGGGATACGAAAGACATAGAGCTTGAACATTCAATAGATTCAATAATCTCGAGTCCTTCGATGGGAAAATTCTCTTATCGCAGAACCCCAAACAAGCTATCGCACAAAAGAAAATACGAATCCAAGATGTCTAATTTCTTGTCATCAATCTCACATGCAAAGCATCGCAGAATCCCATCTCCATAAGGCCCATAAACCTAAAAGGCCAAGTCAAGGATTAGGAGTCACCTGGACAGAGAAGGGTGGATAAAGCATGCCTCACCAGCAAATTCCCCTCGCTAGACTTGCAAATCCCCTGATACAAGGCTGAGGAGACTCACAGAAATTATACCTCATCAATGTAACCCCAGCCCCTGCGTTTGTCGCGCGAAATCGCAAATTGGAGAGATATATGCCCTTGCTTCCAATATCAAACTACTTTGGAGTGCCGAATACACCGAAACGGATGTTTCCTGCTCCGTATCTTTATCTGTCCTCCGAGCATCAAGCGAGCTTGAAGGTGGAGATAGAGATGGATATTTTGAGGTTATTGAAATCGACTCATCTGCTATTCCTTTCTTGATGTTTTTGCACGATGTCGCTTCCGAAAAAAGACGTCGCCGTTTCCACTTAAGGAATGCCCCGTTCTCAAATCGGAAAGTCTTGGAGAGCTTAAAATCCCTTTTCTTTCCTTCCTCACAGGTGATGGTGTAGATCGGCGTTTGTCGCGCAAATTCGAAGATTTTCCTCTGCTGATGGCACCTGTCACTGTCTGAGCTCTCGGACATTAATTTCGCCAATTTGACGGCTTTTTCTAATCCCCTTCATCTCAGCAATTTTTCTTTCCCTCGATAACCGAATATTATTCACCCTGAAGTAAAACAAGGGTTCATATATCTTGTTTCGATATGTTCGGGTAGAAAAAGCATCCTTAAGTGTAAGTACAACTTATACTAACCATCTAATTATGTATAATCTATCTTTACCTGTTCCTCGGTATGGGTCAAACCACCGAGCAATGATTGCTCCATGATCCAAACCTGATGAAGCCTGATCACATCAATACGAAGAACTATCTTCCCACTTTCAAATTGTATCGAATGATATTCCGATGCGGAGACGATAATCAGTACATCACATTATTATGATGCAACAGCGGAGTTGTCGACAAGCTTTTTTTTTCATTTCCCACCATCCACCGAACCCGAGAAAGATGAAAGAAAAACTTCACCGCCAACTCTAAAGTTCGTGATATTGAATTTCCCTAAAGAAACGTCACCATGATTCCACTATTACATGCAGGTTAGCCCTAGGAGTCTCGTTCTTGATGCATGCGCTTGATTTCGGCCCTGGGAGAAAAGATTGCAATGCGGTGAGAATAAAATTTAATTCAAGATTTTACACAAGCCAAGCTTTGAGATCTCCAGAAATAGTTCATGAATATGGTTCGCTATGTTGACATCAGTTAGTTTTGAGAATCGTCAAGTTTTCATACATTTTCACCTTTAGTTCTTGAGCTGATGTGTCTATGTACGCCGCTATTCTTTGGCACATTGACTACTTTGACGTCGCAAAGAACTCGAGATCGAGAGTTTGGCACGTTGATCTCGATATATATGCCAGTCTGAAGTTTAGCTTGGACGAAATATGCTAGTCCGAGAGTTGGAATCAATAGCTTCAACGTTTTGATAGAGCACTATCCTCTGTATGTCTCTTCATAGTGCCTCTCTCCCCTCATCATGTACTCAAAGCTTGCTAAAGCTTGCATATGGGATACCAATCGAACTGAGGATCCACCTAGGCTGGTAGGATCATCCTCGCCGTTGCTGGTAATGTGGAATAATCTTGATATTTGACGCCAGTGACCTTCACGCTGCACGCAACCTCTGCCCGAAGATTCTCTTCCTCGATTCCCTGAGCCCCTTTGGGCATATGACAAAGTCCTGCCAAGTATAACTGCGAACTACCAAGAAATCTTCACAAAATACATCAATAATGTACATAAAAAACGAAGATCATTCGGCCACTCCGTCCCGTTCATCCCCACATACCAAGCTCCTTCTCAAATACTCCAAGAACAAAGCTCGCAAAATGTGACCAATTAGAAACAAACGAAATTAATTACCTGACCATTCCACGGAAAAATTCTAGAAAATTGTAGGTGGTGAAAATCAGGGTCATGCTCCACTCACTGTGTACCTGCGTTGGCCCCTGGTTCTCACACAAAGTAAATCTATCAAGGACATCTGTCACTCCACCCTTGGACGGGCCTTCGCATGCATGCACGTGTGCATTCTTTCCAACCAATACTGTCAGCATAACATGTACTCCACTACTTCTAACACGATTCGAAGAATCTCAACAGCCAAGCGTAACGCATCAATCTCAGAAGAATCTCACAATTCAGATGGATTCGAATCCACCTCAATCTCATACCCAATGCCAAAACGTGACCGTGACCTCCTGACGTTGAGTATCAAACTCTTCTGAAACCCCATCTCGGAAGTTTCCAGAAGTCTCCATTTTTATCTAACTTGAGATGAAAATGTATGGAGTGTGTATGGAACTTGAAAGCTACGGTTGTAAAAATGGACTATGGATGAAATGAAGGGGTTAAACGAATACTCTAAATCGTTATGCATCAATTCTGCTTCAAGCGTTCAACCAACCAACCAACAAACAAACAACAAACCCGTTTCATGTTTCCGCACGAGCCGATTTCGTGCTTGATGGGTACTTAATTTCTATGTGTGCATGTACAGAGTATGGAGATGTTATCTATCTATTTACGTAGTCAACCACGATTCAAGGTGACTCCGCAGGTAAGGAAATGAAGGAGTTCGCAAGCAGGTAACAAAACATGCGGTCACCGGTGGCAATTCTCGCAAAAATGGAGGAAACCTCCTCTCCTTTACGGAGGGGCAGATGAAAAGGTGATCCACTCTTGAAAAGGTCGACATGGATGTTATCTTCAATTCCCCAAACTGGCTAGAAAAAGCGAAATTTCCACTCAGGTCGTGGAGCTGGAGATATGTATGTAATTTTAAAATTTCTTTTTGATTCTTGACCGCCTTACAAGATGCACTCAGCCACTGAAGTGATCTCCACCTGGGGGTTTTCATAAATTACCAATCACAAATTGTAAAGGGCTGGCATTGGCACGGTAAACGGTACTTGGACTCCTTGTTTAGATACGAACGCAGGTCCCTGATTTGTGAGAGAGAGATTTCCAGGTTTTGCTTTTTTGCATGGAACCATTGGACTGTTTTGCTTGCTTCAAAACTCCCTTGACGCCGTGGATTCAAGATTGTGGAGTCTCAACAAAATCCTTCGAAATTTCTTCTAGAAGGTTTGCTTTGTTTATGGGGCGAGTATGGACAGGGGGAGGAGGGAAGATTACACGTGTGGAATCATGGAAGCTTACATCAAAAGAGATGAAGTTTACTCAACATCAGGATTCAGGGACTCAACTCGTGTCCGCTGAATTTCTTGTATTAATCCGAGGATTTCAAGGCTCAGGGCTGAGGCAAACGCCGAACATGTCGGTATTTACACATGGGAAACTCGGATGGCTTGATCTAGGATCTGGGTTTTGGACGAAGTTTGAGTTTGAACACACATGTATTTCCGGGATATTTTACAGTTCACTCTATGTATGCATGTGGAATGTGCTCGTGTTTTTCTTTTTCCCTTCTTGTTTTCGGGGTTTGAAGTTTAGGAGTTTTGAACTTTGGAAAATGCTGTTGAAACCACCTAATTTGCCACTGAAGATTCGAGAATCCGGGCTTACGGATTAGTGATGTGTACTGCAACGTATGCCTGTAGTATAGGCAATGATCAATATTGTACTGCAAAAATCATCGACAGAAAGAGAAGTATTGTGTCCTGTGTAGGCTACAGATATGGCCCGCTGAAACCACATATCTCTGAATCCATCTATGGAGTAGTCCAGAATTCCAAAGGAACAAAATCTTGATCCCTCCAAACAAACAAGTCACAACAAACTCACCTCACAATTCTCCTCCGCCGAACTCACCGCTCCTCCTCGTCGACAATTCTCACACCGCACCGTCACTCTTCCCAAACTTCCCAGCCTGTGGGAAATTAATGTTTTCAGGTACGCAAGGTACATTCCAGTTATACGGTACGACTCATCGTTCTACGAGAAACGATCAGCGACTAGAAGGAATGAAAGAACAATCTGTCAACTTCTTCCACGTGGAGTACTAGGATATTGCTAGATTTCCAAACCACAAACATCCATTCGCTTAATTTCCCAAAGCTCCAAGCCCAATTTTCTAGAAACTTGCTGTGGTTTTGTAGAAAAAGGATGTTCCTTGACTCTGAAGTTAGAAAAAGGGATGGATCATACCGGCTCGAAGGCGGTGAGTTCAACCTTTTAGTTAAGGAGATGGAAACTGGGAAAGGAGATTTTGAGACGGGAATATATCCCAAGCCTTGGAATGGGAAGCTACTCAAACAACTACCGTGCCAGTTCACCGTTTGTTGAACCTTCGCATGTTCGTACGGACAGCTGGATACTGAACTTTATTTGGGATTATCTATTTTCAGTAGTTCTGAAGCAACTTTAAGGCTAGACACCAATTCTTGGATCACGGATGGTAATTCTATACCCTCTGCTACCATTACGATTGAGGATTTTACGAGCAGGTTGAACGATGGCGGATACCCACGGACAATTTGGATTGCTCACGTACGTCAACCTTAATAATGTAAACTTCAAGATTTTGTAGAAGAGCATCGAGATCTGCAGAAATTCTCTTTACAATTCGGAGAATAGAAGAATTACATGAATCATCGAATGAGATGGGAACTTTGGAGGTCCAAGGAAAGAAGTACGTAAAGGCATACGAAAAAGATCATCATCAATTATTCGAGTTTGAGGATGTAAGAAGGAGCTGGTACTCCGTCGCTTGAGTTGTGTTGATGGGTATTTTCCAAGTTCATTCCAATAGTTGAATTTCTAATCATCGACCCATTACCCGCCTGATAATAAAATTCACCGACATCTTGAAAAAAAATATCACAAAGGACAATAAAGTTTGGAGATTCGGACTTTTGTCATCGGAGCTGATTCTCCTTTCCAAAATATACTTTCAAGATTACGAAGTTTATCGCTGCTAAAACGCAAGTGGACATAGTGAGCTTCATGGGGAATCCTGCCTATTAGACTAGTACTATTCAAATCACATACATGTGTGTTTTAAACACACATCAATAACGAATCAATCATTCCTCCATTTCTCAAACCGAAACCCTTCCCCTCACCTAAAAACCCTCCGTCTACCTTCCCCTCCCTCCTCGCAAGCGCCAGGAAGGAACCGTGAATATCCATCTCGGGAACCCAGCATACCCGCCCGCGTAGCAATGTAAGATAAGCGCCCGACATGGCGCCCGTCATCTTATTCTCCGTATCACTCATTTTCCAGTTTCAGTCCATTGCCCCGGAGAATCCTTCGTGTATTGGAAATTAGCTTTAGGAGGGTTGAGGTGCTGAGTTGTGGTCACAAGATCAGAATAGACTTGGTGGTTCAATATTCAATACGAATGGGAACATGCGAGGCTGAGGTCGCGTGCCGAGAATACTCATCCGTGTTAAAAGGAAGGCGGGTTTTGCATGCGATAGTATACGAGAGCACACGATAAGCCTCAGTACCTTACACGAGTACGGTGCAAAGTTACAAGTATGATGAATACTAGGTATTTACATTCATACCCAATAACCAGGAATCTCAATTATATTTTCCCTCTCTCCAATTCCCAAATCCAATCACTTCCCTTCATCCTCAAACCTATTCCTTATCAAACTCTCGCTCCCTTATCAGTCATCCATCTATTATCCACTCCTTTCGTATCATCCTCTGCACATCAATCTCCTTATCCGTTCTGCGCACCCGAGCCGAAGTCCTTGGCCCGACGCGCCTAGCCGGCGCTCTGCATATCAACAATATTTCAAGCTTCCTTTCACGGATAACAATTGTTCCTTCCGCTTTAAGGGATGTTGATACCGATGGCCCGGTTTAAAAATCAAGTTATTGGGGGTAGCGAATATGATATATATCAGATGTATTTATGCATGTAAGACGTGGGACTTTGTACATAGATGCGTATGTCGAGATACTGAAGATGCAGAAACTGGGTTGAGAAACTCGCCAAGTTGGCACCGCGGGCGTCGCTTGGAGATGCAGGTGGCAATGGGATGTGAGAGAGTTCTGGAGTGTGTATAAAAGATATCATTGTTGTAGTAGTCTAGTTCAATATAATCTATTAGACATCTACATTTTGAACTATCACATCGCTCCATCCGCCGACCCAAGAACAGGACATCCCTCAAAATGCGTCTACCAATCTTTCTCTCAGCTAGCACTTTCCTCCTCACTCACCGTAAGTTCCCAACCTCGATGTCACATTCCAATTTATCCCAATACATCTCCATCTTAATGCATCTTCATCTTCACCACAGGTCACATACCCAAGCCCTAACATCTTCCCTTCCCGTCATAGTAACAAAAGCTTGCTACTTCAACGTACACTCCGCGACCGTCGGCACGTTCAAAGCACAACATTCCGAACACCTCGATCACAATGGTGCACCCCAGACACTCACTGGAAAATACCTCACCTGTTCTTTCTCAGCTGATTTAGCCGATGGATGTATCGTAACAGTCAAGACCAATGTGGGGTGTGGGAACTTGACTTTCGAGAGGATTGGTACTAACTGAGCTTGGCTGTGATGGAGGGCTAGCGTAGTCGTGGGAAGTAGGGGTGTTAGTTGTACACTCAGGAGCAGACGAGGATGAGATGATGCTGAGCCGATGATACTGAGGTCATGTTAGTGGACTACGAAGTCTACGAAGTCCGCAGGCGGTCAAGAGTCTTCGTCGGGCGGTGTAGAATAAAGCTCCCAATGATATGGTGGCTAGCTCGACGTACCTGTATGCGAAAGAGACTAGCTTCAATATTTTCAAACTCGAATAAACCTCATCGCAAACAATGTACTACTCAACTTAGCAAGAACAAGAAACAAAAACAGTATTCGTTATTCTTGTTCCTTTGAAAAAGGAGCTAAAAAAGCACTGCCCACTGCCCAGCAACCATCAATAACGACGACTATGACGTAGACGGGATGTACATATGTCTTCCGTCGCATCCTATGGAAGTTTCGGGCGCTCCGGCTACGCGAATGCGATGACTAGACGCGCACGGCCATGGAGAGAACAAAAATAATTCGTATCCTTCTACATTCAGCTTGATGCTAAACAGAGAATACGATAAAACTCTCCAACTTCCCGATCTACCATCACAGCGCCGATGACATGCAGCTCATACAGTCCTAGCAGTTTACAGCATCATAATAGCAGTGAAAATGTTTCCATGTCTACACGGTCCACCCAAAACGCCAATTTCCCACCTGTACCCCGCTGTCTGTGACACGGTTAGAAGTCTTGGTAATATATTGGGAGCATTTGTAAGCTATATGTGTTCAATATTGGGTGAATGAACCCAAAATCTAGAATGATGGGGATCACGAGCTCAATAGTCGCTTCCCGATTTGCATCATCAAAATTGCCAACGTCCGAGAAAACTCGCCTAGAAACAGTACTTGTGGACATTTCTTCATCAACATACAACATAATTGGTACAAAAAATTGGGGAATCTCCTCCACAGCCTTGGAAAAATCATCCGACGGGGATTCCCACTGAATGGCAAGAATGTAGCCGAAGGCTTATGATGACACTGTCGATCGATGCAAAAATCTTTCAACATCTAACACCATTCTTTCTTGGTGCCAGACCACTGGAAATATTCTACCCATTCACGCTTTCCCAACGGTCCTCCAAAGATCCTTGGTACGTTTCACCACCGTCGGTGAAGATTGACTTCACGTTAAATAGACTTCGGGGAGATAAGCAATGGCTATCATCGACTGAAAGCGAAATGTCTCTTCGGCAAACCATTTTGGAGCTGCATTTGGCCGAAGTCGATGGTTGCCAATGGCATTCTTTGATTACACTACAACCAAGACGCCATGAGGTTAATTAATCAGTAGAATAAAGCTCCGTAAAATAGGATTTATACTTTCTCCCATAGGTAAAAAGTTCTGTGTACAAAACAAACCGTCCGTTCGCATGAGTGGCGTTCTTCCGCACCAATCAAGGCTCAATTTTGATCTCGACTCGACTATACTTTCGAATCGTACGTACACAAAAGATGAGAATGCTGTAATTTGTTAAATTTCTTTTGGTCCGCGCATACCTCAATGCCGTGTCGTTTGTGGGGAAGACGGGAGAGGGAACGGGGGACGCAGAGAGGAAAGTCTATGAGAGGCTTGGACCATGTTGAGCAATTCCAGGGACAGGAACGTGTGATAATCCTATTTGGGGATCTGTCCTCGCCTTTATGAAAGAATGTTTGAAGCGAATACACTTGCAGCACCAACAAATTTGGGATGTACCGCGTAGATACCGGTAGATCACTTTAGCTGTCGTCTCTGGTCTTCCTGATGGCCAGCTTTCACTTTGTAACTTGTGACATGCAACTCATCGCAAGATATAACTAAGGTGGCTCGTGTTCGATAGGTCAATGATAGAGATTGAGAATACAGGACAAATTGTGACATCAAAATCAAGTCGAACTACTCGACGCTGATCGTCTTCCATGCTTCTACCTCTTGCATTTCTTCCAACTCAACACGTATGAGAGTTGATGATTAAGGTCTGGCCAGAGAATAGGTTTGAGCTTAGAAGAGTATAATGCTAAGCTGTGGCCATCAGGTTATTATTACCCCGGGTTTGGAGACCAGTGATAGAAGGTGGAGGTCTAGATCTACAATCAAGACACTTTCACAAACTTTCACTGCGAAACGGAATTAAACCAAATTTTACAAATGCCGCGATGAACCAATCGTGTCACACAATTGCACCATAACACCATATAACGGTAAAATGATCGACGGTAAAGCAGAGCTTTGGGCAGAGGCACGAAGATGCAGGCACTGAGACCAAACTCCTTTGGGAGTGCTTTTAAATATTGACCTTTTCGGACAATATGTATCTAGTAATTCGCCGAGTTTGGCATGCGGACATTTTGACTTTTTCTTCTCTTGAAAAGTTTACATATCAAAAGACTTAGCCAGGCTACTTCTGTAGTAGAGGGCTTAATTGGAAGTCCGTTCTCCCAAGATCCTCTGATTATTGTGTAAGCATTGCCGAGACCACTGGTTTGTCTGGGCATGCGGTTATGGCTCTTCCGCAGTTGTGGAGGTCCCCGAAGCTGCCTATCATTGGATGTTATATGCGAGGATATGTATTTTGGAAATCTGGATCTCATACATCGTCTAGCTGTGGCGGCATCTGCGTAGACGCGATCCAGTCCTCCATCATTGCTTGACCTCCATTGGCGGTTGGAGCTTTGCCCTTTTTGTCTTTCCGTTTGACGACCAAACATAGCACGCGACCATTCACTGAAAATCCATCGTAAGATGTATCCATTGCCATCTTCTTTTTGTCATCATCATCCTCTGATACTTCTCCATCTTTCCGACGTTTCGCTAGAGGACCAAAATCAGAGTCTGTAGATTCCCGCCCAATTCTTGAACGTTTTGATCCGCGAGGCCCTTCATCTTCACTAATGAACAAATCTGAATCATCTCCTACTTCAGGTATATCTTGTAGAGAGAATGACTCTTCGCTTGCTTCTCTCACAATAGCTGGGCCACCAGCTACTTCGATTGGGGCATCATTCGTATTGCCAGTAAGTTTGTCGGAATTCGACTGTAAAGCTTTCTTGTTTCTATCTCGAAAATGTTTCTGTTTAAAAATGATAGAATGCCGCGTACTGGTTTCCGTCAAAAATATCGATACTTCAAAGTCCTCTGCCAATAATTGTTAATGTATGTTGCGTTGTTGACGATGTTCTCCAACGGGTCCACTCACCATCACTTACAACATCCTTCACGCCTTTCTTCTTCCCCTTCGACTTGCTCCTTTCCTGCTCCTCGCGCAGCTTTGGCAGAACCAGTGGACGAACCTTCTCGATGACTCGGGGCAGGATTGGGTTTCTTGAATTAAGCAGCCAACTTTCTGCCAAAGCTGGATTATCGACATATATGCGACATTCGAGAACAGAATATTTGCTAATACGCAGATATCTACGTATTGGCGCCATTGGGTAAGAATGTGTGTGATGGTGTGAATACTTTTGTCGTGGTTGTGTCTGTTGTGTTTGTATTGGGGAAGCCTTCTACAAGGCTTGAAGCTGTGATTAACCTAAGCTTCAGCCTTGCTGAAATCTTACTGACTGGGGTAAGGTTAAGCTATTTTTGCCCCGTAGAGTATTTCTGGACATTTTCGCAATAACACGTCTAACACGTCGGATGAATAGAAAATTCATTGACAGTCACTCATCTTCATATTCCTGAGTATCTGATAGTTGACTTGTTTCCACATTTCAATCCCTTTGGAGCTCTCTTGTTAACCCCATGGAATAGCTTAAAGACAAAGGTTATCGATAATGTGTGTCAGCTTATCAAATCTATCGCCAATATAGATACTACCAATTCGATATGTTCTTGCTAAAAGCATAGGAAATTTGGATTGTGAGTACTTAGGTAGGGTAGATCGAAACTCGCTTCTGCGTGTATATAGAGTAGGCCTTGAGACGATAGGGGTATACAACCTCGACAATTCTAAAGCGAGATAGCTATAACCACACTGCCATTCTAACAACTTCGGCGTGAAACATTTATCTGTACCTCTCCTTTCTCTCAACACCCGTTGAAACATTCTTCGGCTTGTAACGGACTTTCCGTTTTGTCCGCGAATTCGGTGGAGGTGAGGGCATCTTTGCCAAGCATATCCACACATACCGTATCACCACGATAAGTCGACCACCCTACTTTCGGGCCACCCCTCTTTTGAGCCACCCTTTTATACCAAAAATCGCTTTTTTAATCTATCAATATCTCTATCAATATATAACCTAATTTAACAAAAATTTGAATATATATAATTTAAGCTATTTTAGGCTTGTTCTGAAATTTTTAGATTTTTAGGACTTTTCTATATTGAGATCTAAAGCTTCAAAATATCGATTTTTTAATTTGTATAGGAATTACATATAAATTTAAAACTTTTATAAAATCTTTAATAACTTTTTAACAACAATTATTAAAAGAAAACTACATATCTTTTTGAAAGCTTTGAACTTAAATTTATATAGAAATTCAAAAAAAAAATTCAAAAAAATTAACAGATATAGAGATATAGTATATAGTGAGTTTAAAGTAGTATAAATAATCCCTGTAATTTTAAGGATATTCTTTTAAATATTTATTTATAAGAAGTTTTCTATTTTTTTTAATCTTTTAAAGTAAATATATTATAAATTTATAATAAAACTTTTTAGTTTATTTTTAGCAACTTTTATTAAAAAGTTATTAAAGATTTTATAAAAGTTTTAAATTTGTATATGATTCCTATATAAATTTAAAAATCGATATTTTGAAGCTCTAGATTTCAATACAAAAAAATCCTAAAAATTTAAAAATTTCAGATTAGATTCAAAACAATCTGAATTATATATATATAAATTTTCAATAAATTCTATTCATAAATAAGAAAGTCAAAAATTCCATTTTTGGTGTAAAAAGTGGCCCAAAAGGGGGGTACCCGACTTATCAAATCAATATTGAATACTCATATTCGGGAAAAATCGGTAACGAATTCTCGCCGTGGTCATTCTAACTCCTATTTCTGCATCGTGATTATTCAGTGAAAAGTTTCTCCGGTATTTGATCTTCGATATTTCTCTACAATTTGAGCCTTTTGCACTGGTGGATTGCACATCAAAGGGAGGGAACATTATATGATATATGATGAGTTATGGTCTAGCTACCTCGAGAACTAGAAGCTCGGCTTTGTATGCTGGGGGACTACCTAAAATCGTATCGTCTTCGAGATGTGGAAAGGTGGTGGGCTTGAGTGCCGGTGCAAGATGTATATCAACACGTGAACTCGACGCTTCCAAAGGCGGTTCGTATTCTCTACCTCTCCATTCACTTCCTAACCGTCTATACACGTGTCTCGTCTCTTTCGTTCTCTCAGAACTCAATACGTAATACTCAGTACACACCAATCCGCTTACTAACACATACAGATCGTGAAAGAATCCTGATTCTTGGCTCGGGCTGGTCGGGCTTCACACTATCTCGCCAACTAGATCCTAAGAAGTACCAAACAGTTGTTATTTCTCCACGGTCATATTTTGTGTTCACACCGTTGTTGGCTAGTACAGCTGTAGGAACTTTGGAATTTCGAAGCGCGCTTGAGTGAGTATTTGAATTTCTCTTTTGGTTTGTGAGAGGAATGGGTGCTTCTGGGCAGGGGTTGAGCCCTTGGGTCTGAGGGGGTAGTCTCTAAAGTTTGTATCTATGGGACGGCAGAATTCTTGGGTGCTTGCTAATACGCGGCATGTAGGAGCGTAAGAGGTAGAGGAAGATGGAGAGGATGGGGCTTAGTAGGTGGTGGCTGGGGTGGATGGGGAGCGAGAGGGAATGGAGTTGAGTTTTGGCAAGGGGTGAGTCGGTATTTTTCATTCCATTTACATTGGGGCGACTGTGATCCAAATATCATCTGTCATTTTCTCACGAGAGTTGATGGTCTCCATGGATTACTAACCAATCTCGTCACCACAGTGGGCAGACGACGTAAACTTTGATAAGAAAACTATCAAAGTAGAAGAAAACGCCATTGAGAGACCTAAAACCGCTTCCACAACAATAGAAAAGAAAGGAAAAGGAAAAGTATTTGAAGTAGGCTATGATAAATTAGTGGTTAGTGTTGGATGTTATAGTCAAACATTTGGGATTGAGGGGGTGAGAGAAAATGCATTGTTTTTAAAAGACGTAGGGGATGCGAGAAAGATTAGGAAGAGGATTTTAGAATGTGAGTTCATTTCTTTTTGAAAGGAGGTGGATGGATGAAGAGAGAGTTACTCTTATGAACCTACTTTCCATTCTCAACGTCTCGCCAAATTGTGTTTCGGCCCTCCCCTAGAGCAAAGCGAAGAGGCTTCCACGGCAGTGGCCCAGCGGAGTGTCAGCTTCCCATGAAGAATAAGCAAGGAGGAAAGGAATTAGGGAACGAGACTAGCAATGACTAATTCTTCAAAATTATAGGCTTTGAAACAGCCGCATTACCAACCACTTCCGATTCTCTCAGAAAACAACTTTTGAATTTCGCTATTGTAGGCGGCGGTCGTAAGTCCTCTCTGTCTGTCTCTTTGAATTCCACCTGACACTTCTCTTTTAGCAACTGGCGTCGAATTCGCAGCCGAACTCTTCGATCTTTGTCATGAAGATCTCTCTACTCTCTACCCTTCCTTAACCCCGTTCATAAAGATTACAATTTATGATGTTGCGCCAAAAATCCTTCCCATGTTCGATAAAAATCTTGCAAACTATGCGTTGGAACATTTTAAGAGAGATGGAATTGAGATTAAGACTGAACATCATATTTTGGGATTGCGAAGAGGATTACCCAAGGAAGGAGGAAATGAAGAAGATGCAGGAAAGGGATTCACATTGAACTTAAAGGAAGAAGGTGATGTCGGTGTGGGAATGTGTGTTTGGAGTACGGGATTGATGATGAATCCTTTTATCGAGAAGGCGTTGAGTTCGGTTCATACTTTCCCTACTCAGTCTGTTATCTTAGCTGGAAGCGATAACCAGAAAAGTATGGAGAGACCGGAAGATGAAAAATGGGAACTGAAAAGAAGTACCAAAACCGGTGGATTGATGGTGGATAATTTCTTTAGGGTTAAATTGGCTACTCGTTCATCTCCAGACGGAACAACGCAAACTCAACAAGAAGCAACGATGAATGATGTTTTCGCATTGGGAGATGTAGCGGTCTTGGGAAATATGGGTTTACCAGCTACCGCGCAAGTGGCAAATCAGGAAGCAAAATGGCTAGGGAAGAGACTTAATAAGATGGAGAAGGCAGGGAAGATAGGGGCTGCTGAGGATAAAGGATTTACCTTTAGAAATATGGGGGTTATGACTTATGTTGGGGGTATGAAGGCGATTATGCAGACGGATGGAAAGGGCGAGATTAAGGGGTAAGTGAAGTTTTATTTTTCTTTTTGAGACTCAATTTATGATGATTCTTCGCGCGGGGCAAAGGAATTATATATCTGCGAAGTCGGAAAGAACTCTAGCGGACTTCATTGCTAACAATACATTTAAATATAGGAGAACAGCATGGTTAATCTGGAGAGGTGCATATCTCACTCAAACAATCAGCTGGAGGAACAAAATACTCATCCCTATGTATTGGTAAGCTTTTATACTCTCTTTCATCACTCTCGATGAATCTCCTCTGAAAAAGAAACTAACGATAACAGGGCAATCAATTGGCTATTTGGACGTGATATCTCGAGGTTTTAGCGGACTATAAAGATTGGTTTGGGAAAGTTGGATGGGGCGAGGGTGGAAGGAAAAAACAAGGGTAAAAGTAGAAAGGAAAATTGCATAGCGATGGGTGGCCTCGTAGGAAGGGTGTAACATATTGTGTTTTTATGTATTTTTATATTGAGGCTAATTCTACTTTTTATTCTATGATTCGTGCGGATTACATATCGAAGTGGAGGGATGACTGAAATGGATGTCGCTGCGTCTTGGGTTTAGTACATCAAGATGCGAATCTCGTTCATATTGTGCCACTAGAAGGTTATAAAGCCAACACATGATATTCAAGATACCAACAGCCATCCAAAATGGGGATCAAAAAAAGTTCTCTCCTAGTATCTGAAAAAAAAAATGTAATCGCGAATCGAAGATTTGAGAGTTGATTTACAGTTCCGACGACGTTACTAATGATTTTATGGTGGCATGGATGGTTGGCAGTGAGAGATCTGACACCGAAGAGGCTTCAGTGATGACATTTTGTTGCTTTTATCTCTAAGTTTCATTGTCGAGATACTGGAGGTCTGAAAGGGGGAACGCCTGTAGTTTGGCCAAGGTTCGCGTGGAGGGGAATATGCTGAGTAGTAGATCATGACGGGTCTGGTTTTCCTGCTGCACAGCACACATGGTTGTCCTTAGTGGTACTGCTCTCCGCTTAGTGGCAAAGAAATGCTCACGAGAATGTTACCTTTTAAGCCCTATGAAGGAGATTTCGGATGTTGAGGTTTCATTATAGGGAATAAATTGGAATTCACTAAGAACTAGTACTCTAGTACGAGTGAAATGTATGTGAATGATCACCCTTCAATCCAATTCACCTATTTCTACTTGATATCCGCTAAATGTGTATCTGTGTTGGCGTTCGTAAGATCTTCAGCTGGAGACTTCTATAAAAGGGCCCAGCTATCCAGAGATTTGTACTGGTCATCATCTGTAGGCACACTAATCGATTTTTTGCATTTACTACGCTATTCTTTCAGCTCCATAGGTAGTTCTCAAAACGTCCATCTTCTTCTATAGAAGGTCTCCCTAACCACGCGGATGTGCTTTGTACTTCAAGATATCGGCGTGGCATTCAAGCAAAAATGTTATGGTTCCTGACCTATATCTTCAGCTATGCATTATTAAATCGTTGTATTTATTGCAGCTACGGTACCTGAGCTAAAGGATCTGGATTTTTTTTTTTTTGAAGGATTACATCTCGTTGTATCATCTAATTATATCGTCTTGTTTTTCGGGATTTGCACACTTAAATGACTGACAGCATTCATAAATTTGATAGCGATGAGAACAGTAATCCGAGGCTGTAAAAAAGACCCTTCACAATATCAAGGACAAGCAAGACCACAAGAAGTATTGCGGTTGAAAATCCTTGGAACGTAATATCTTAATGGTATGTCAGGTTGTTTGTTTAAATTCCATGCTCATAAAAGTCCATTGATATTTATATCCAGGGAAAGAAAGCATAACCCGTTCAGCCTCTTGCAATATTGAATATCCTGATACATTATGACAAATTTCAGAATATGAAGTGAATTTTTGCACTTTATCCCACTTGAGACTATATTATCCCCATCTGGAACGGCACGAATAAGGAATGATTAAGATCAAGTAACCTTATGGCCAAGCACAAGCGAGGAAATTCCACTGGTAAAAACGAATACAGGTGTTCGCAATCTTTGTCAAGGAGCAAAATTCGGGAGATAGTATTAACTGAAATGATTTTATCAGATGTCTTCAGACGATAGTCGTATTGGCTGTGAACGACAAGAAAGAATGCGATAGTAAATATCGGCTACTTATTTCGATAAAAATTAACAAGTCATACACGGTATTTGTTGTCGAGAATTCAAATTTCATTTTTGAGACAGTATTTTGGCCCTGTCTTCAATTCTCAATCTTCTCACAGCATGAAATGGCATTAAGTTGATATCATTCTATGAGAATTTCGATATAGTAGTCTGCGTCTGCCACCTCGATTTCGCTCAAGAAGGGAATCAAGCACTCAGAATCCTCTAGATTATTCGAACAGGTAGTGAAGATCCAACAAATTCATAATTCTCTACATATCAGAAAGAACTGCTGTATGATCTCCCCTTAAATCTTTACCGTTAACCCTCAAATAACCGAGGAACTCCACCAGACAATCAAACAAGTCATCCGCCCCCCATTCTAATTTATACCCCGAATTAACAAAACCTGCTCGTCCAGAATGATTAGAGTTATTCAATCGAAAGAGGTTCAAAAGATGAAAGTGCAAAGACTGCGGCAAATTTAAATACAAGCTCAGGCCCACGCTGAAAAAGCAAACTCTGCAATGCAAAGAAGATCTTACTTACAAGAGCAGTGTGCAAATAGCATTCAGATTCAATACTTAAAATTCAAGACCGGTATCCTTGACACATTTGAGAAGTACCTGGCAGAAGGAAAACGTTAGTATCAGACGATAATACCATCCCCTTGACACTAGAGAAAAGTCCATCGTCTATTGCGTTATCGAGGTATATATTAGCACAAACATACAACTCAGGTATCTGAGCAAACACGAACGAAGAGGCGGCAAAGAAGATAAATTGTGTGGCGATCAGACTCGTTACTAAACTGTGAGTGGGAGTGAGCCGTCGCTTTGCCTCAGGGCTATACCTCTCGACACGGCAAACACAAAAAAAGAATGACAATAAACGTGATCCATCTGACAGCAAGAAAACTAAAATAAATTAACAAATATTGACTGACAGTGATGAAAACAAGTGGGAAAGCAAGGATGATCCAATCAAAAACTACTTTACTTGATACTAATAATATCTAGGTAAAAAAAAAGAAGAAGAAGAAAGTACCCACGTCAAACAACCCCTCATCACATCATCCGCAAAACCTGTGCGGAAATCAGTGAAGTACATTTTGAGATAGAAGATAGAAACCAAGGAAAGGATAAATAACTACCACCAGAGGCATTTCAAAGCATATCTTATCAAGCTGTCAATTCTTCTAGTGAATGACTACTCAATACATTCATTAGAAACGTAGACAGTTGGTCTCGTATACCCAAGCATCGTCTGCTCTCCTCCCAAATGAATACATCGAGAACAACCCGACCTCGATTCCCCAACGTGCTATAAAAGCCGCGTGATATCCACAAACCCTTTCATAGTTTCACCATTCCCAGACTGGATATACCATCTGATAATATGTGAGTGTCTACTCCTTTCCACTAAAGACTCATTAATATATATACATATATACATACATAAGTAAATGCTTTTTCAAGCACCTTACATATATCAATCAAGTATCATCCATCCCCATAACATCATTATCATTGTCTCATTCCATATACCAAAAAACCAAGAACCAAAAAACATACATGGTCCGACAACGCCAGCCAAGTCCCATAACTTGGCAACAAAATCCCAAAGCAACAACAAAAAATAACAATCAACATCAAAACCCCCTACTCCAATCCAATCCCCAAATCACAAGCCAAATACACCCAAAAGAACATGCAATGCAACACATCAACCAAGCACAAAGTAAAACCAACACACCACTAATCAAAATAGCTAAACATCACGCATTTCTCTCGTCATTCCCAATTTGTCAGATGTTGTTGCTTCGAGACAGAATGAGGATTTGGATTTTTTAAATACTCAGGGCTCGAGCACTGGAATCTCGCTACCCCTCTTTATCACCATTCACTATCTACTATCTACCATAATCTACAAACCCAAATCCAATCCCAACACAATGAACACACCATCACATAGCAATCCAGATCCAAATCCTACCCACAACATCCACCCCCCTCCTCCCCTCTTCCCCATCCTCCTCACCATCCTCCTCACCATCCATACCTTTTTCTTCAAACCCCTACCTACCTCTAATATCACCCATACCACCCATACCACCCATCTCCTCCCACTCCTTCCCAAAATCATCTCAGACTCTAGTAATCGCCAACACCGAAGAATTCCAATTCCAATTCCAATTCCAACTCACCTCCTATCCCCACCCCCATCCCCCTTTCTACCGCAAAGATCCCATCTCACTTCCCTTCCCTTCCATTCCAACTATCCGCCCCTCGCCCCTACACACTCACCTCCCTCCCCCCCTTCAAAAAGCAGCTAAAAATTAATAGGTTATTTCTATTCCTTTAATAGCTATTTATTATTTCATTTCATCCTATCTTATCTCATCTCATCATTAAAAAACAATAACATAAAGGTTTTAATAATTAGTTAAAAATAATAAATCAAATAATAATACTAATAATACTAATAATACTAATAATACTAATAATACTAATAATACTAATAATATTTAATCTCTATTTCTATTTCTATCTCCATCTTCATTTATACCATTCACACCATCCTAATCATTCTAATGAACCCATATCTTCTTTACCTCAACCTCAACCTCAACCTTAATCCCCAACAATAAAATAAAAATCTATCCCACCTCTCTCAAGCAATCTATCTATATCATTCCATTCATTCCTCAATAACTCTATTGTCATATTAGAAATCAATCAGTATAGCGCATTTAAAATATCTTTGGTTTCCGAGTTTGAGAATCATTCTTGTGATGATACTACACACTAAGTGAAGAGGGTGAAGTGTATCGATGCTCAGCTTGAGTCAAGTCTTTACTAGATAGATATCTTATAAACGCACCCGAGGACAGGCTTAACAAAATTGGACAATCCTGTTGGAAGGAAATGTTATAGTATACTATACATTTGCATTGTAGAAAAATGAGAGTAGACACATTACTTGAAAACAGGATATCCATTCATAAAAAGAGATAACTAATCTATACCCCTTACTCAAAACAGCCTACTCACAATTACTTTCACTTTCACTCTACCTTCACCTCACCAATCCACAAGCCCATCCCTCCCAACAATCTTCCCCTCAACCACACTCCTAATATTCAATCCCCTCCTCCTGGGATGTTCACACCCCATCTTATACGCAAGATCCGGGCCCAACCCCCCCAGATTCGTAGCACACATCCCCGGACCCACGGCCCAGACCTTAACCCCATCCGCCTTCAACTTCTGATTCTAATCCAACATCAACATATCAAGTGCCATTTTCGAACATATATACCCGATTGTTTCGAATGCGATTTTCTTCGGCCATCCAGCTGGCTGTGGAGGGGTGGGGAAATATTTTTGCGCAGCTTGTTTAATAGCTGATAAGCTAGTGATGAGTATTAGACGAGGATCAGAGGATTTGAAAAGGAGGGATATAAATGTGGAGGTTAGGACGTGAGTACCAGCTACATTGACATCGTAGACATTGTTGAAACATTCACAGAGTGTTCCTTTGCCACTGGTATAGGCGATATCGAAGGTTGCGCCTTAAGAGAAGAATATCGATTTCGCTTTCAGATATCCACAATGTATGAAGAAAAAGTTACACACCAGCATTATTAACCAGTGAATCAACTCTCCCATGCTTTAGCTTGACCATCTCAAAAGCCTTCTCAATACTCTCATCACTGACAAGATCAACTTCGAGTGTTTCAATTGTATTCTTCGACTCTGGAACTTCCTTCTTCAAATCATCAATTGCAATTTGAGCTTTCTCCACAGAACGAGCACCGAAAAGGATATGGTATGGTTTGGTAGAGTGAAGAAAGGCTTTTACTGCTTCATAGCCTATGCCACTGTTTGCACCAGTAACGAGAACAATTGTACGGGATATCATTCTTTGCTTTTGATGAGAACTTGAGGGATAGTCGTCTGATATATTTGTTCCCGAAGGTATTCGATCTGTTTTATCTGTAGTTGGGTTTCCTATCTGTCAGTGGGATATACAGTATTTTATAGCAATTTCTCTCTAGATCAGAGAGCACAGAAACCGAACCTACCATAAACTCCATTGAAGGTTCTTGATAATCATCATCATCGTTGACACAGTGGGTGAAGTCGGCAGTTTCTCAATTCGTCCTTTATCATAGACATCCTATCAGAGAGTATTTTCCTATCCGAGAAACAAGACCGAGGAAACAGATATTCCGTTCTACCAGACCATATTCCCCTTTTCAATAACCCCCAAAGGAAAAAACGGAGTACTCTAATCATACTATATTAAGAGATACTCTCGAGGTGATTTTGTTTCTAGAGGTGCAAGCGCGTTCGATCAGGACAAGCTTCTCACCAATGCAATCCCCGCTCGGATTTAAGGAATTCACGTGCTTTACCTCCTTATTTCTTACTTCGGTTTATCACCATATCTTTACAGCAACAGAAACATAAGCATCCATGAATACTACTAGGTAACCTTTCTACCAAATTAACTATCTAGTAAGACACATCCGGAAAGCCCTCGGCCTTCAAGGTTGTTTAGTACATTACCTCAAGAAGTTTCCTAGACTCCCACCCAAGACCCTCAAACTCATCCCTTCATTCCTTCAGACCTTCAAACACATCAATGTCATATTACCCCTTTCATCCCACTCCGTCGTGTCAAGGAACCTGTATTCCTATTCCCATCAAAAATCACAAAAATGAAGCTTCAAGTTATCACTTATTCTCAATCTCAATCCATGGAAAGGGTATTCTCTCTTTGTTTCTCTTTCTATCTAATCTTTATAATTCACAATATCCCATCCTATCCCATCCCATTACACCCGTCAAATCCATCCCATTCTATAATTCTAAACTAGACTATGACTTTCATTCAACAAGTACTCAGGTCGATACCTCATAAATCTATTCATCAAATTTAAACTTCCTCACTACCCACCACCCCTCTACTAAATCTTCTCTTTCTCAATCCCATGCCATCCTCAGACCTTTCTCTCCCCTTCCCTTTCTCCGCGTCTCCTTTTCCTCTCCCCCTCTCTCCACCTCCCTCTCCACCTAACCCCTCCCCCTCCCACCCAGGCAACCTAACCGCTCTATCCAACGCTCTTGGCAACCCCCTATGTCTCCCTCTCACCATAACCGCCACCAAAACAACCTTACTCGCCGTCCTCAATCCCCCCGAAAAACTATAGTCCTGATCCGGCAAGCCCGTCGAAATTCCCACACAACCATACGCACTCACCACCTCAAAAATCACATTAAACACCGAGTACGTGATGGGATCTCTCTCAAACGACGACCCTTCGATACAAACGATGAGGAACGTCGCAAGCGTTAACCACCACAGATCGTGGGAGAGTTGAGAGCGTAATTGATGATGGATGAATTGAGTGCCTGTGGTTTCTTCCTTGGGGGACGAGGTCGAGTTTCTGGTTGAATTTGATGATGCGGTACGAGGTATGCCGATATCCCTTCCACTTATTGATTTCCTAATTCTCTTCATACCTCTCCCCCATCTCGAAGTATGAGAATCCGTCTCCACATCTCCTCTGTAAATTCCCAAACTCCTCTCTTCATAAACATTACTATGTCTCATTGTGATAACCACCGGATATACACTAATATACATCATAACCACATATAAGAACTGCAGTCCTATACGTAAACTTGGAATGCTTATGATATAAAATCCTCCACTTCTGACTGCAATTGCTTGGAATAGTCCATCGAGAACGCGGTAGCGTGGTTCGATTACTTGCGTTGCGGAATTTCCAATGTTGAGGAGTTCAAAAGCAATCCAATCGATACTATTGAGAGTTATAACCATGAAAAGGAGCCACCATGTGGGACGAGAGGGAAATAAATTGGTATAGACGCGACGAGGATAACGGAGGATGAATAAGAGTGTTGGTTTGTGGTGTTGAAAGGGTGAAAGAAAGTTGGGGAATGTATCGAGAAGTTTGAGGAGGGTGTAGAGAATTAGACGAAGGAAGAGAGGGTATGCTGTGTTGCCAGCGAGAATGAGAAGACCCATTGTGAGGAGGGTGTAGACTGAGGTTTGGAAAGGTATCTATTTCTGTTAGTCTCTGGTTCTCATGTTTTACACCCTCAAAGGATAGTAAAACAGAAGGATGAAAGAAAAAAACGAACCATATTCAAATCCAATAAACTCATTCCTGAATTATTAAATGCACTAATCGCATTAAAAACTCCCAACCACCATGGATTAATACCATTTTCAAGCGCAACATTGCTCTTATTGTAAGCCATATAAGCACCTAATCCAATCCCTCCTAAAAGTTGCCAGAGAATAAAGTATAGTGGAACTAACCAAGCTAGAAATGATATAGCTCGGTATTCAACACCTCCTAAGTGCTCTCTTTCGGCTCGTGATAGACCATGAAATTGTGCATTGCGGCCTGTGGTATTGGAATTTAGGTATGACGGATATTGAAGCGGAGCAAGATCTTGCTGGCCAGTTTGGGAGTGGTGAAGTGGTGTAATAGTTTCTTGGACGCGAAGTTTGCTTGTATTTTCCGAGGTGGATGTAGGAAACTGGAAATTTGTTGATCGAGCTGGTGTGGCAGTTTCGTTATTTGAACCTCCCACTGTGATATCCTTTGCTTTCCCTTTTCCATTTACTGGATATGCATCAGGTGCAAACGTAATATGATCTCCCGTCTCTTTTGGTATACCACCATGAGGAGAGATTTCCGAAATGGCAGTCATACAACTATCATCACTTTCCCCCCCAACTGGTCGAACTTTCAATCCTTCTTCCATCTCCAAAGCATCTTCGCCTCCATTACCACCACTGGTCGAGGGAAACTTCCAATTGGCCGCCATCAGACCATTCCCATCTCCCCTCCTACTTCCCACAGCCTCTCGACTTCCACTCCTCATCCTTTCTCTCCTCCTCTCTTCCTTTTGTCTGCCGACTACCTCGCCAAATCTACCTTCAAAAGCTCTTTTCCTTGTCCTCACAGTCGCCACACTAACAAAAATTGCACTCCCAACAACAATCAACAACCAAAGAATAACCTGCTGCAAAGTCGTCATCGTACTTAAATTAACCGTATTAAGACCGGCTTCCGTCATCGCCGATGTGACCAAAAACAACGAATCAACATATGATATTGATTTGGAAGGATTCGATGAACCCCAGAATATTAAAGAAGTGATAAGGAGAGTTACGATGAAATAGGTGTAATGGATTGTGATGAAGTTGAGTGGTGGTAAGAGCGCGAGAATTGGTGATAAACATCGCATCGCTCGATCAAACCATTCATCGCCCATGAAACTCTTGAGAGATCGAGGTTTCTTGTCCATTTCTTCTCGAGAAGGATGTGAATTGAAAAAACTTCCTCTCACACTTCTTGGGAGAGTCTTCTCTTTGTGTCCACGTGATGGAAGAAGTGACTTGAGAGGTCTAGTAGCAATTGGTGAATGAATGGCGAAGAAGGATCCAAATGTTCTTGGTGCTGTTTGTGAATTGAGATTTTGAGGTTCCGTTTGAAGTTTTGGAACTTCCAACCTTCCAGTGTCCGACTGAATGTTTCTCGATTCCAAGTTTCTCGATTGCCCTGATTCCGTATTAACTTTTCCCTCTCCCATCCGAACTTTGCTCGCATCCAATTTCCTCTGTTCCGATTTCGTATTCAACGTGTAAATTCCCGTCTGGTGCTCGTTCGGAATCACAATCTTAGGAATTCCTCTATTATCGTTTCTATTATTCTCGTGTCCGTCGTGTTCTTTGTGATTTTTAATCTCCAATTCCCTCGAGTTCCTCACTGTAGTTTCGCCAGATGTTACTTGCCTAGTATAATTTTCACCTGACATCTTCTTCTTCCCTTCCTTCCTTTGCTGCAGCACTTTCCCGTATCTGAATTCCCGTGAAGAAATTGGGAAAGTCGAATATTCGTGATACTAGCTATACTAGCTATACTAGAGGGTGTGCAACAAATGAGAACTTCAATTTGTTACTACCCAAGATAGTATAATAGTATCGTCAATTCTTAATGTATCATCCGCCACCCCACCAAGAAGAAGTAGCAGTAAGTTACCAATAATAGGGAATTGATATAGCGAAGCCAAAACAAAGCGTTCCTTCCCACGCAAATCTTCAGTCAAACAATCAAACAATCAAATATGTGTGTCCGAAAGAAACTCCTCAAAAAATACCCCCAGAAACAGAAAAACTCCTTCCTCCTCGTATAGGAAAAATCTACCTTATGAATGAAAACCAAACGGTGAAGTTGTTGGTCTCATTGATTATGTACATGTAGGGAATGGAGGTCAATTTTTCTCAATTTTTTTCCTTTTCTTCAACCATGAGCCGACCTCTCATACCCCACATCTAATCAATCCAACCAACTGTCTGTCTCAATTAATAAATACCTTCCTTCCTTTGCTTCACCGACAGTCATTGAGTTGTCGATAAGAATCATTAATGACAATGTCAATGTTAATGTCGTTAACAATATTGAGTGAATTTGAATGTATTGACTGACCTGAGTAATAAATGAGATACAAGAATACCTACCTAGTACTAGGTACATATCAAGTACCCAACAATCAACAATCAAGATCAAACCTCTCTCAGAGAGAAGGAAGGAGAGTCAAAGCCATGACTTTGTTAACACAAGCAATATAAAAAAGTTGATCGATCCTGGGTTGAAATTACCTGTATACGCTCAGTATCTATATACCTACATATCCATCACCACTATCACCAATATCACCACCATGACCATACCATCCATACCAACGCATAAACCATCTAAATTACCCAGGTAGGCCAGTTGTATTTTGACACCCAAATCCATTACAAGCAACGAGGAAGAATCAAATCCCCCTCATCTCATCTCATCACCTTCATTCATTCAAATCCTCATTCATACAACTATCAAAATCTACATAGAACCATCTACATCTACCCTTCAAACCCCTTCCTTCCCTTCCTCAACCTAACCACACACAAATCCGAATCGACCACCACCACCACCACCACCACCACCACGGCCATTACCATCATAGATCCTTCCTCCACCCAGCCAGTTGTACGTGCATAGCCCATCGCTTCAAGCAAGACAACCAACCAAGAAGTCAACCGACCGACCGATTGTAGGTAACCTCAAGTCAGGTCAGGGCAGGTCAACCGTCGCCTACCTATACCTATGCCTATGCCTATTAGGTAACAAAATCACTCATCACTCAATCACTCATCACATTTATTCATTAATCGACTTCACCAAGATACAATATAAGTAATCAAAGATTATAGATTTCAAAAAGCCAACATGCTTTTATTTATTCATTCATTCATTCACTCATCCTATCTCATGCTATGTTATCCTATCCCATCTCCATCCATCTCATCTGATATATAGTTATACACCCAGTCAAGTTTCTAGTAATATATCTCCATCTCTCCTCCTCTTTCCTCCTCCACTCCATTCCTATATCCAATCCCCATCCAGGGTATCTACCATTCCATATCCCAGTCCAATCCAGTCTAGGCCTTTCACCCAATCCATCCAATTCAATCTTCCTTATCCTTCCCTAAAATTCGTCCCACGTTGATGTCTGTAAATAACATGGAAAACGTGTGATATGCATCATGCTACTTCCTTCCTTCACTCCCTCAATTCAAAGAAACAAAAAACGCCAGCTGAATAACGGGTGCATCCGAATTTGGTTTCTCGCCCAAGAGTATCCAAACCACCTACAGCTTATCCTTCATCCCGTCCCCTCCCCCATGAACAAATAAAATTATGTATGTATGTATATTGCATAGTATCTAAGGTTACAAAACTCCTCGCAAAATGATAGAGTATCAAATAAATAGCGTACAAGCCGGTAATATAAATGGCTTCCAAATCACCACGAAAGATGGGTGAAATGGTGTTTCTTTGTGTACATTAGAGTTGAACAATGTTGTACAACAAGATGGTAATATCAATTCGTGTTTGTTGGTGTGTTATGCCTCGATAGTGATGGTTAATTGGCGTCGATGCAATAAATCCGCGGCTCGATCATTTTCGTCGGTGATATGGCATCTGCGCCATTATCTTCATGAAAGAAGAATACCAGTGGTCCAGTCCTCGAATCGATCAGTCGATTATGCTGTTGTATGTAAAGAATGAATTCCAGCTTGTCGAATTAAGTTCAAGGTCCATGTTGTGAAGGATCTCTTGGATGTTGACTTCTTCTTCCAGCTTCACCTCTAGCATTAGCCCATTCTTGAGCACCACTTTGTCTACCGGGTTGTTCAGCCGGTAATTTCTGATCTTCTTGTCTCTGAGGTAGAGGCGATGGAGTTGCCATGTGTTGATTTGAAGATCCATCTGGTCTCAATCCCGATACAACAGATTGTGCAATGGATGCCACAACATAACCTCTCAATTCCTTATCTTCCCTCGCATCTTCCTTTTCCAAACGAAACCTCTCATCCTTGTTCATATTTGATCTTCGAAGACCTCGAATTTCGTTTTGGATGTATAGCATAACTTCCTCTGGGCATTTGTTTCTTGGAAGAGCATGATCCGCTTTTCGAACATATCTTCTGGTAACATCGGTCGCACCATCCGTCGAAAAGGCAATACAGTAGGACATTTTCTTACCCCAACCTTCAGCATATAATCTCGGATTATCCCAAGCTTCCTCACAAGCATCCACATGAATCCATCTCTTTTTGGTATCCGAATAAACCTCTGTCCAAACATGATCTTCGACATTCCAGACCCATCTTACACGACCTCCTACTGCGCGACACAGCATACTAAAACAATTGGCCCATTCTCCTACTCTTCCTTTGCGCGTTTGTAATAATTGCCAGACGTCACTATATCGAGGGAATCTTTCATATGCCCTACAATCCCCGGCTGAACAACGATATAATTCGACCTTTGTTGCTCCGCATGCTGATTCGTCGGGTGTAGGCGGTGTCATGCCTTGGGCTACGGTAGGTGACATGCATACTTGACATGGTGGATTGTTGACCCATGAAAAGAATGAACGTTTAAACCATCTGAAAAGATGTTAGGACCAGTTACATCGGGAACGGGAGCAAAGCGGCAGAGCAATGACGGGAAGCCAAAGCGCAAATCATAGACAACATAACAAACGTACCTCAATAGAGCTCGAATCACACAGTCTTGATAACCCCATTCCGGTTTCCTTCCATCTCCCATACTTTCAGCTTCAGCTTGTAATATTTGACTTTCCTCTTCTGCCTCTCCATATATCCTATCTAATGGTAAATGTTGTAGAGCTTCGTCCAATAAACCTGGGTTCTCATATTTCGTAGGAGTTTGCGAGATGGAAATTAGTAAATTTCGAAACTTTTGTGATTGTACATCCGCAGGTGGTGATGGAATCTTTGGTAAATTTCTTATGGACGAATACGAAGGAGGTGTTGCAGGTTTTGAATTATTTGAAGAAGAAGTTGGACGAAAGTTTGAAGATTGTTGTTGTTGTTGCTGCTGACTTTGTTGTGAAGAAGTTGCTCGTGAATTGGATGATGATGATCTTTCTCTTGGTGATGGCGATGCATTTCTTGACCTCGATTTATCCAATTCATTTAATCGTTTCGTCCTTAATAAACCTTCAAATTGTTGTCTTAAATCTTTTGCCCATGCTTCATCATATTTCCCATTTGGTCCATTTCGATCGGCCATTTTTGATATATTGTTGGTGGTGATGGTGATGTTGTCGAAGGAGGAATTAATAATTTAATGTCGAATGTCGAATGTCAAGGTAGTGAATGATGTATGGTATTGTATTGGTGTATTGAGGGGGATAAAGATGATTCGACACTCCTTCCTTCTATCTTCAACCTTCACAACCAATCTTCTCTTCGCTCTTCCTCTCTCTCTCTCTCTCTCTATAGTATGTATCTCTTTGTGTAAATTGTGGCTGATTCTATAATCGAAAGAGGAATTTTGGGTGTGATATCGTCCGAGGAGTGGTCGTGATAACAATGCGTAGTCAAATATACCCTCCAAGGATAAAAAGGAAGGATTGTATTAAAGAAAAAAGAATGAAATGTAAATGAAGTAAAGTAAGTATGGAAGTAGTAGTAGCAGTAATACTAGTAGCAGCAGCAGCAGTAGTAGTAGTAGTAGTAACAGAAAATAAAGTTGTATCTTCGATCAATATTTCTTCTCTTTACTCATTACTCTCACTCGCTCGCTCACGCACGCAAACTCTCTCTCTCTCTCTCTCTCTCTCTCTCTCTCTCTCTCTCTCTCTCTCACTCTAGTTTGTCCCTCAAGCACAGCCCTCCAAATCGAACTTAGGCACTTTTTTGGTCGCAATCGCCACTTTTCGCTTATGGAGTTTAGGCTAGGGATTATTCGTAATTTATAGATCCTCGTCAGGTTGGTGTTTGGAAGTATCTAGCTGGGTGGGTAGGTAGAGAAGGGAAGGGGAAAGGGTGGAAAGAGGAAGAATTGGATCTTTATGACTTTATCAATAACTTCAAACACAAATCCGGAGTGAAAGTGGAAGCGACAATACTGGGTGAAGAATCGAGTTTGGTCGTCGTAGTTGTCCTAGTCGTCCTAGTCGTCTTAGCCGTCTTAGTCGTCTTAGTCGTCTTAGTCGTCTTAGTCGTCTTAGTCGTCTTAGTCTTCTTAGTCGTCCTAGTTCTTAAAACTTAGATAGGTATGTAGTTGAACGAAGGATAAAGTAAAGAATAGATAGTATTCTCTTGCAATTAACAGAATCAAAAGCCTCGTATTAGAATAATGAATTGTTATGGGTTGAGACATGGGTACATACAGAAATGGATATGCCCGCTGCCCAGGTTAGAGGTGTACGAAGATAGTGTACGACTAGACTATGAATTTATCGGTACTGCGTAAGTTCCCTCCCTTGGACTCAGATTTACAGTCTAATATCTTCATTAGACAGAACAAAAAAGTAGATACCAAGATTTTTCCGGGGACTCAGAAAAGTTAAAAAGATGTTTAGAGAACTAGGAGTATTGTGGTAGGTATTACTAACTTGGACAATTCATACATCCTCGTGGCATGCGTCGTAAGTTGTGACATTTTCCCCGATTGATAGAATTATACAATCATACCGAATCTATCTGTTTTCCCCCCAAATGTGAATGATAAATGATTATCAATCTGTTGTAAATTTGCTCCTTAACTCTACTCTACACAGTATCTCATTTGGCTTAATTATTGCAAAAATTTAGATTCTTCTTGGCAATCAATTCGCACGCACGCGATGTTCAGTATCTAGGTGTCTACTACGAGTATCAATCAACCACTCATCGGGATTCAGGACTCAGAATTCCTGTGTACATACTACTGTTTTGGTTACCTGAAAAGCGACTAGTTGTAACTAGATACTAATAGATAGTCGGAAGCTTAAAAGAAGGTCGACGTGGGCTACCTAGGAATGGTTTGACCATTTCGGTGGACTACTAGATGAGAAGAAAGAAAAAAGTCGGGAGCTGACGACGACTTCTTTTTAAGCGATCAACTCATTTCAATACTGAAATCATCTTTCTATCTGATATGGTTGGTTAGGTGTATAGACTCGACATCTTTTCCATCTACACCGAATTGTAGAGCTTTTCCATATCAACAATCTTCTACAACTTCTCAGCTATCTTTCTGGGTGTGCATGAAGATCTCACTAGAAGTAGAAAAAGATGATTCAAAACTTCACGAAAGATCCCAATATCTCTTGGCTAACGTGTATCATATGAATCATATTGCGACGATAATAGTAGATCTTTTTGCCAACGTTACGATTACCATGGACCAATCTCACCCGATGATACTTGGCACACTTCTTAAAGTCTGTGATAATACATTGCTACTTTATTCCATAGGTGATCATGTGAACATCAGACGAATTAAAGGTATAACGTGGTTCATCAGCATATAGACTACTTTAGAGATATAATAAAATTAAGATTTTTTTAATAATTAGATTTTAAAACCTAATTAATCTTTTTGGGGAAAAAAAAATTGTTAAATAGTAATAAAATAATCGTATTTCAAAAATCTATTCTTTCTATAAGTGAAATTTCTATTATATTTAATAAAGAATAGTTTTTATTATAGTTTTTATTACAAAAAAATCCATAATAACTATAATATAAAATCAAGTTTTTTATAGAAAAAAATCGGACTTTTGAAATGAATAAAGAATTAGAGTTTATATAAGAAATTTTTAAACAATTCTATTGGCTGATAAAGAAAGTACATGGTTACGTACAGATGAATTTTATATATAAAATGAAGTAGTCTATATAATAATATGATTCGCATGCTGATGAACTACGTTAAACATAATACTATATCAAAACTCTGCCTTCTAGCTATCTGTATTTCTCAATCATCAAATCTTTAAATTTCCAGCACCATCTCATCCAAAACTTCTCATAAGATTTTAATCCAAAATCCGGAAATCCGCATATATATACAGAAAAGCTTGTCACTAAGTACACACGAAACGAAATCATACCCCTCATTTTGAGCCTCATCAATATACTTTACACACTAACTAGGTCTTTCGTTTCCTTCCAAGATTCGTACACGTACCATCGGAAACTAGAGAATCCGACATCATCTTAGGAACGAGAAGGTGCTTCATCATGAATTGTCTGCAAATAGCGCTTACTCGGTATTCGTCTCTCAACATTACAAAGCCATGTCGGAGCAAACAAATCCGTCGATTATACTTCGAACAAGCTTCTCGTTCGTCTGGGTTTCAAGTATTTTGATATACATACACGAAATCCATCTTGGCCGAGATAAGTTGTTTTGAGAACTTGGGGAGTATTCGTACACCAAAACACGATGACTATCTCAGTCAAGGACAACAATATTGACGACGTCGTTATCTTCGTCTCCCTCATTTCTCCTCTCCTTTCCCCTCGGACTAATAACTAATATCAATTCCACCACCTCTTGATTCTTGGCAGCTAAAAAATCATCAAAACCCGACTTCACCAAAAAACTCAATCTCACCCTCATATCCTGATTCGTAAGAATAATATTCCCCATAGTCTTTTAAAACCACGAGGCATACGCGTTTTTTCTTGGCATCGGCGCTCTGATTCTTGAAAAAGGTATAGTCCGATTAAAAGATTGCGCGGCTGGCTACCCCTTGTGGTGTGTTTGGCTGGTTAAGTACACACCGGTTTAGCGAGAATGAAGGGTGACGGGCACGTGGAAAAGGGTTCATGGTTTATGATTGATGAATAGAATAGATAGAGTTTGAGTTAAGCTTTGGTATGATGGATCTTATTTACTGTTTTTGATATTTAATACAAAAGGTCAAAGAAGGGAAGGTATGCTTATGTCAGTCGGACAAAAGAGAAAAACACCTATCGGTAGAGAGTCGTCAACACGGGGGATCAAGAAGAACACCTCCCTCCCCCCTCCTGATTGAATCAATCAACGACCCTTACTTCACCACGCCAAGCTAAGTATTATCAGCACAGCGTCTATATCTGATATTCACCCATTGAATTTACCCATTTAGAACATTCCTATATATGCGTATCATATCAAACAAGCGCTCCCTTCTCTTTACCCAACCAGCAGCTCTTCCAAACGGAGAAATCAGAATCGAAAAAACATTCCATCAAATTACCGAACGGAAATTATAGTCGTCTCATATAAAACTTTGCTGTTGGCTGAGCCGCGAGAAGTGGACGATACCTCCAGCTGAAATACACACAGCATGGGATGTTTTTAAGCAAGCTCAAAGCTTCAAAATCTCAGGTAAATTAAGTGCTACATATTTGTATATCAAATATCTTTTTTAAGCTTTCAAGCGCTCCAATCGTAAGCTACATCAAGTCCGATCTTTACACGCGGGTATCTTACATATCTCGGTGTTGTAAGGTATTATATATACCACACAACACTTTAAAACCAACACAGCCTTCCTCCTATCTCAGGCACTCTTCAAGTCAACTTCAAACTTCAAACTTCAAACTTCAAACTTCAAAGCCGCGCGATATGCCATTTAATGGTCATAGCTTCCTCCGTACCTATTACTTCGTACACCTACCTACCTAGTCTCCAGTCTGGGTCTAATAGACTAGTATAGATAGAGAGCTATGCCATGAGACTCTTCCCAGCTGTAGAGTTCAATAACCGAAAGCGAGCTAAGGAGAAAAGTTCGTCCCTTCTTGTGTACCACGCACGCGTAATATCTTTCAATTTATATTGGCTTTTCTTTTTAAGTTATTGCACTCGGTAAGTGGTATGAAATCTCGAATCTTGATAGGGAGGGATCACGCAAGATGGAGATCATGATGCGTAATTAAACTTCTATAGCGTGTGTACATCGGTGCTTTCTTTCATAGTGCTCTCATTCCTGGTGCACACGTGGTGGTCAAGGAATTGCCTGCGTCGTCACGAGTGGATAGCTTTCATGTGTTAATCTATCAAACCTGGTTCTTCGTCATGATTTTCCGGATGGAATGGATGAGGAGGGGCACGTCCGGGTTTGGTGCGAGCGTTTTGCATGTACACTTTGACTTGTGTATCGATTTTTTCTCTTTCAATCGTTCAAATTTCATCTTCTGTCAAACTTAGAGTTTTCAAGACAAGATGCCAGAGAGACCAACAGTAAATGCGCTGCTACTTGAACCGTTCTTCCACCTCTGGTAATGTGGACGGACGCGTATGTACCGTCGTCTCAATCTATCATTCCCTGCCACGTTATATTGACTCAAACGTCTTGGCTGCGAAGATATTATCAGTTTCTTCTCTACCTTGTGAGAACGGCTTACGAATTTGACCAATTAGACTTTGGTAATTTGGTATTAAAGCTTTCTCGTTGATTTTTACAGATTCTGTCAAGCATGACTTGTCTATTAGTCTTTGAATTTCCGATAGTACCCGTATACTAAATGTTCTCCACGAATTCATGTAGCCAAGACTTGTGAACCGTATCCCAAGTTCCCTACTTTTCTCTCTCAATAATTGGGTCATATAAAGTGGAAATCAACAGAGCTTTGAATCTAACGTCTCTATAGTTTTAAGACCATCTTTCCATCGTCTTATATATAACACATAACATAGCCTTATTCATAGCTTCCATACCCTAGAGATTGACATGATGCATTCTTCCTGCCTGCTCTTCCCCCTCCTTAACCCACAATTCTAAACACAGATCTTCATTACTAATGGAGCATTAAATCGGATAAATACATCCATTCGGATTCGGAACGAAAGAAACCCGTTCATACTTCGTACCCCTTCGCTCTTTCATTCACGCGTCATCACTTCTAACTTCACCTACTCTTTGTCAATCCTCATACTTCTCTCACCAACGTGACGAAGCACCCGAAGAAATTCCCATCCACGTGTGCATCAAAATCATTAAGCTTAAAGTCTGGCTCGTCATGTGTTATATTATATGGGAAGTACACGCAAATTTTGTTTGGTTTCCACTTATTCACTTCCTACTACCTCACACCGGCTGGCGCAAGTTCTGAGAAAAAAATGGAAAAGAACGAAAATTGAACCGCAAAGTAATATAATGGCCTGGTTATGTATCTGTGGGTGGGTGAGCTATTAGATTGATGTTGACAGGTTGTACTTGAGCTCCATTGCCTTTCTTGTTATCCTTACTAAATCTTTAAACCTTATAAGTAAGTGGAGTTAAATGACGAGGG